CCAGAGGAGGAACACCAATGGACAGTCCAACAAGAATGCACGCTCCAGTGACAGCCACGTGCAGATTTGGTTGCCAGGTTTATGTATTTCACTATTTCCACACCCAACAACCTTTTCATACATGCTGGTCTTCCTTTCTGCTGCCTGAGCCGAATTACCGGAGTGTTTTAAAAATGGAACTGCTTTTGATGGTCACATGCACTGGCTTTCTTTGGAAAGTGGTTCAGTGCTGATGAGAGGGACCAGATTGGAGTTCCCTGATAATCCACAAGGAAAACAAGGCACTGGCAGGGCAGTAGCTCAGCCAGCTTCCCTGCAGTGCATCTCCCCTTAAATGCCCAGAGGAAAACCAAAACCAGCAACACTGACACCTCACATCTGAGCCGCAGGCTGCCCCTGCCTGCTCCCGCCCTTGGCCTTGTTTCCCATTTTCAGTGCCAGGGGAGCAGTGAGGGAAGGGCCTCGGTGGGCTGGGCTGTGCCCAGGGCAGCCCAGCCAGCAGCACAGCCCTGGCACCTCAGGGGTTACCCGGGGAGCAGCAGTGGAGGTGCTGCCTCTCTGCCCCAGGGAGAGATGCTCTCTGCAGTGATAAGGACAAAGTGCCAGAGCTACACAGCTCTCCCTTCTACCAGTACTGAAAATCAGGGCTTTTAACTGGCAGAAAATCCTACTGTGAGCTTTGCTCATGCACCCAGAGTGCAGCAGGCAGCATCACCTCTGAGAGACGAGGCCTGGGAGCTCCTAAGCACTGCTTACACTCACCTGCAAAGCCAAACTGCAGTCTAAGGAATGAAGAACATTTCTTAATGACACACAAATAAGTCAGCAATTAGAGGAGAATTTGCTAGCATAGACAAATAAACACGTAAGAGCACAGGATTCCAAAGTGACCAAAGTAACTCAGCCAGAATACTGCAAAGAGAGGCACAAGGCTCAGTCCTGTGGCACAAAAGCACAGCAGCAGCAAAGACTGGGAGGGTTTTGCTGTGCTGGGAGCCCAGCAGCCCCCTCAGACACCTCCCTGCCACAGCCAGGGGAGCCCTGCCTGCCCTCGGGTCACAGCTGGAGAATGGCTCGTCCCATCCCAGCAGATATCCACCTGCACACCTCTTTTCTTACCTTGCAACATTTCATCATTACCCTGCAAAAGATCAAATCCCATTAAAATGCATCTTCCAGTTACTTGTGCAAATGTTGGTGCAGCTCTAGAATTGCACTTTATCTTCTATTAACTGAAATGTCACTGCAGAATATTTGAAGAGTTTGCACTCCTCTCCAGGACAAGGTGTGCCCCTTTGATTCTGGGATTTTACCTGTTAGAAATTATCTGCAAATCTTCACGGCAGCTCCACAGAAGATGCCACGTGCTGCTGGGGGAGGAACCAGAGAGTTCCAAAGGTGCTCACGAGTGGCCTCAGTGAAGAATCAGCTGGCTCATAATACAAAGCCCAGCTTTACAAAAATCAGTGTTTATTTTCTGAAGCCTCAGCACAGCCAGAGGCAGCTCTGGACCTGAGCAGGAGCCAGTGAAGAACAGAGGTGTTACAACTGTTCCCACTGCAGAAAGCTTTGATATTCCCCAGCATTTTCCTCACCTGGGTTTGGTGTAATCACTGCTTGAAAGTAAAATCTAAGTCCTCATGCATCCTGTAAAAAGGAGTCAAGCAGTCCCCTAAATAATTTGTAAATTAAGTCTCAAGCCAGAGTAGAAACCTGCCACATAATCCACCTCTGAATTCACTGGGCTTAAAGGTTTTTGTATGGGGTTTAAGATTTACATTTTTCAGTATCACCTGAATACTTTGCCTCCAACCACTGTGCTGGACAAGAAGCCTTGAAAGATTCTGCAGTCTGATTCATTGGGAAAAAAGTTAATTAAATCCCATTCTCTCCTCAGACATACTATTCTGTCTTAAAAGATGATTAAAGAAGAGACAAATGTAATTAGGGCAGGAAAACATAGGAGTGTCTTTATTGCAAGGGCAGTTTCGAGCCAACAGCCCCTTTAGCCAGTGGCAGTGGGAATATTGTGCTCTGGGGAGGGGGAGGAAAGGTCAGCCTGCTTTCATGGCTGCTAATTTAATCCAGTTTTACCCTGGACATGTCTCATTGTTTGGGCCTTTAAATACCCTTTCCTGCTTCTACTCATTCAGGAATGTAATGAGCTCCTTGAAATATGATTAGAAAAAAATGCTTTTTAAAACCCCATTAAGATCTATTTTTGATGGAAGTTTCCTCCATAGCCTACAGCTAAGAAAAGCTTTTATTATGCTGGCAGTGTATCAATAAACTCCAAACAGAATTCTGCATTTGCACAGGTAAAAGCTGATCTAGAAAACACCATCAGAAATGGAAAGCTGTACAAGCCATTGCAGTGATGTGGAGAGAAAACCGGTGATGGAATCGTAAAGCTCACTAGGACCCAGTGTTTAAAAATGCTGAAAGGAGGTGCCCAATTAGCAAAATTCAGATACATTATCAGCAGCATCAGCATTTCCATGCCCCAGATGCTGGCTTGGCCAGGACATCAGCGGTGCCACTGCCCAAACTCTCCCCGGGTAGGGGCACACAGGGCAGCAGCCGGGGGCAGTTCCTGCCCAGAGCAGCTCCGTGGGACAGCCCCAGCATTTCCAGCCAGGGAATTCCTGCTTTTCCATCAGGCTGTGTCCCACTGGCTTGCTGCCACCTCTGGGAGCTGGAAACCACCTCCCAGCAGGGAGCAGCGACAAATCCTGCTGCCCACAGCAGTGGGATCCCTGCTCTGACCTGGGCACGACCTGGGCACGCAGAGGAGCCAGAGCAGCACCGGGGCAGCCCCGAGGCTCCTGCTCTGCACAGGGGCCAGAGCAGCCCAGGGGGTGCCAGGAAAGCTGGGAATCCGGGAAAAATGGGAATTCAGGAAAAATGGGAATCCAGACAAACCCGGGAATCTGGGAAAGCTGGAAATTCAGGAAAAATGGGAATCCAGGAAAAATGGGAATCCGGGAAAAATGGGAATCCAGGAAAGCTGGGAATTCAGGAAAAATGGGAATCCAGACAAACCTGGGAACCTGGGAAAGCTGGGAATCCAGGAAACCTGGGATTTCAGACAAACCTTGGGATTTCAGACAAACCTGGGATTTCAGGAAACCCTGGGATTTCAGGAAAGCCTGCTTCCCCAGGAGCTGAGGCAGCTGCAGGTGCCCAGGGAGGGCTGGGGCTCAGCAGGGCTGGGGCTGCACTTCTGGCCACACAGAGCAGCAGGAGCCCTGCCCTGCAGGGAGCAGATCTGGCACTGCACAGGTAAAATTTGCTTTACTGCCTGGAAGCACAGCAGGGCCAGGGAATCTGCTCTGGAAGGAGCAGACCAGCTGCACGCACAGGGAAATTTGGTTTGCTGACACACAGCCCTTCCTCTGACAGCCAAACCCTGCTAGGACACACAGTGCCAGGGGAAAAGCTGCACCTCCCTTTGGGGCCTGCAGTGGGAATGGCTAAAAGTTGTTATTGATGCAGCTGCAGCAGCTCATGAAAAATTAAAGTGCAAAGAACAGTAGGTTCAAATTTAGCCCCAATGTAATGTAATTACAGTATGAAAGAAACATTATTTAATATTTTGTTGGGAAATTCTAGTTCTGGTGTCAGAGTTCCTGGCTCTCTCACCATCCAGGCTCCAAAACGTGTTTTAACAGAGGCTGGTTTGGGTGCCCAGGGTTTATTTGCCCTTTGCCCATCTGGATTCCATGTGTTCCCCAAATCCTGCACAGGAGCAGAGGGAACAGGCTCTGGATGCACTCAAAGGCTGCCTGCTGCAAACAATCTTTTCTCTCTTTGCTCTCAAGACCCAACCCCAAGCCAGGGCTTTCTGCTCCTGGGGGCACAACCTCTGTGTTGAGGGGATAACCAGGCATGGCCCCAGTGCTGCCCCGGTGGGTTTTTGACAAGGGCTGGGGCTGGCTCTGCAAGCAGCCCCTCCTTCCCAAGGGCCTCCTGCCCAGGGAAATCTGACACAACAGGAGAGGATTGACTCCACTTTTTCACCAGAAATGCCTTTCACCAGACCTTAGCATTCCGTTCACATCACTGCTGTGTAATTATTCCTTTCAGAAGCAGAGATGCAAAGAAGGCATTAACAGCCGTTCAAAATATCACATTTATGCACTTTTCTCTTGTCATATTAAATATAATTACTTCTGATGCAATCAAACTCATATCCTTCAAATGGATAAATCCAGCACCAAATTTAGAACCTCAAGCTTCAAACACCAGGCTCTTAAAGCAGAGCTTTAAGCCTTCACTTTCATTTCAGAGAAGTACAAAGAAGAACAGTGAGAACATAAGGTTTAAAAGTGGTATTTTAAAATGAAATTTCTTTAAATTGTTCTGTTAGTTACTGGTGGCAACGTGCTTTGAAGATCAAAGGTGATATATGAACCACATCCCATAGCTCAGGAGATGGGAACCAGCTAACTGACCAGGCCTTCTAGAAGTTTCTTCTCTGAATTCAAAAAGTGCCTGAAAACCAGAGCATGTGCAAGCCACAGAAATCACCCAGCAAACACCTGCTGCTCTTCAGAGAGGAGTGCCAGGGGATGCCCCAGACCAGACTGGGATGTGCTGCCAGAGCCACAGGCTGTGCCCAGGAGCCTGCACGTGCTGCCCATGCATGCAGAGCCCAGCACTGGGATTATCTGTGCCACGGTCTTGGCAGCACTGGGATTATTTGTGCCACGTTCTTGGCCTTCACACCCTCATTTCAGCCTTGGGCTGCATCACAAGTACACAGGAGTGTTTGTGTCAGTCCTGCCATGGCTGTGCAGGAGCTCAGGAAATCAGTGAGCATTGGAGGAGGGTGCACAAAAACCCTCCCAAAACCTCCCCCGCAGAAACCCCAACCCCCTGAACCTGTGCACATGCAGACAAACCCCAAACCAGCCCAGAGCAGCAGCCTGCACTGCAAAACAAAACTTCTCCCCAAATGCAGCAGCTGGCACAGAGCTGGAAACAAATGCAGGACTCACCAAGAGCTGCCAGGGACGACGCTTTGATCTAAGGTGGTTACATGGGACTTGGAACCTGTGTCTCTCCTACAAACCAGGTCTGCTCAGGTATTTCCTGTGAAGCTGCAGGCACGAGGGATCATTTCCAGCCTGTGCAGGAGGAAGGGAAGGAGTCAGTGGCCAGTTTGTCCCAGCTGCATTCGCACTTGCTCTCCCCACTGCACATGGGCTTCACCTCATGTGCCCCCAAAAGCTGCAGGAAAGTGATGGTTAATTATCCAGTACATACAATAAAAGCCAATCTAAATTAATAAACTCAGCCTTGCTGGTTAAACATTTTTGTCATGGGCAGGCAGCAAGACTGAAGTCTGACAAAAAACTCCAAAATAAGCCTTAAAATGGTGTCATCACTGGTATGCTGCAAGAAAATAATTTCACAGGGCAAATGAAAAAATTCAGTCTCAGTCTCTCCTCTAAGAAATGTAGGGACACAGAATGAAGCAGAAAATTCTGTCCAATATTTATCATTGCAGTCTGCAGGTTTGCCAGAATCTCTCTTTGCATTAACAACAAGTTTCCAGCAAAGGTTAACACAAGGCACCATTAGAAATCCTGGAGGGTTTTTGCTGTCTCACCCACTCAACTCACAGTACTCCTTAGCTTAATGGGATCATTACATTTGGTATTTCAAACCTATTTGGATGGAATCAGTGAAGACAACGTTCTCAAATTCCTTTTCAAAAGGTTTGGGAACAGCCCCCTCAAATGCTCTACATTTTCCTTTGCAGTCCTTGCAAGCCAACATTCCAACACCACCTGCAGCATCTCCAGCTGCTTCCTCAGGAAACACAAACACCAGGGGAAAGTTTCCTCAAAGCAGAGGGACCTTTGCAGTTGGTTTCTGTGAGGACTTTTGCTGTGTCCTCACTTCTCCACTGAGTCTCCACACCTCTGAACCATATGCTCTATCCTCACATCCCTCTTTTTGCAAGATTCAGGTCAGAAGAACCAAGTGCAAGTTGTTAGAGCCACTGGAAGAGCAGTTTTAGAAATAAATCATGTGGCAGCTAGGGCTCTGGAGCAGTTAGGCACCTTTCCATAATGCTTGATTTGGGCTGCAGTTCACTAACTAGAAAATAAACTGAGTGGAAAGATCTGCTGATTAAGCTCAGTAAATAAAATTCTGGTGAGCCCCCACCTTTGCAGAGCTGCACTGAGAGGTGGGAGGGAATTCAGACACAGCAATAACTCCCTTCCACCAGCACTCAACACCTGGAACCTGTCCTCTCTGCAAAAACCATCAGGGAACCTGTCCTGTCTGCAAAATCCATCAGGGATCCTGTCCTCTCTGCAAAATCCATCAGGGATCCTGTCCTTTCTGCAAAATCCATCAGGGATCCTGTCCTTTCTGCAAAATCCATCAGGGATCCTGTTTTCTCTGCAGAAACCATCAGGGCAGCAGCTCCCACCTCTCCTCATCTCCACACAAACATCCCATGCCTCCGCTGAGCCCAGGGAATGCCCATGGCTGTGCCAAGGTGTCCAAGTGCCCTCCTCAGCATTCCCCTGCTCAGGGCTGCCCAGCCAGGGGCACAGCAGGGCACAGCCATCCCCAGCAGTGCCACAGACCTTCCTCCCCATCCCAATAATCCCAATCACCTCTGAGCTCAGATCCATCACCATGGCTGTTACACAAGGGCAGCACAGCCCTCTGGAGCCTGGATTTGTGCTAAATCCCACGATGGAATAGGGGAGGGGATGAGAAGCATGAATCAGTTCTTCCAAAGACTTATTAATTCCCTGGAATGGAACTCTAAGAATGCCTTTGGATGCTGTCCCTGCACACCCAGAGCGGCAGGGCACATGAACTGCAGGCTGTGTGCGTAGAGGCTGCAGTCTGACAGACTGCACAGAGCTACTGACAGACACTTCCACCCATGCCCCACATTTCCATCCAGCCTCAGAGGCCTTTACTTACACAGTGCTTGGTGTCCCATCAGCACAAGTCCAGACTGGGCTGGTGGGACAGGGCAGATCGCTCAGGAGGGGCTGAATCCTCCCTCAGCTGCTGGGCTGGCTGAAAACTCACGCCTTCCATAATTCATGACTTCCCTGGGCAGAAGCAGGGCTGCTGTGCCAGCTGCCCAGGATGGTAATTCAACCCTCCTGGACCTGGCTGGTGGCTCACGGGGCGCAGGCTGGCTGCTGAAGAGCCCTGTGACACAGCCCTTGCTGGGGAAAAGAGCTGTTTTGGGAAGTCTATCAGTGACTCCTGTTACCCTGCTTGGTTGCTTGGTTGCAGATGAGGCATCACTCCTGACAGACACAAATGCAGTGAGCACACCACACCACGGAGGTGCCTGTGCAGGGATTGTGTCAGTGGCACTGCGATGCTGCATGGGCAGGGGCCTCCAAAATGCAAGTTCACAGCTGCAGCATGCTGCTCCAGCACGGGATCTGTAGTCACAGTGGGGCTTGGCAAAGAGTTATCACCACTCCTGAGGAATTGCAGCCTTCCCTTAGGGCTCTCTGAGAATAAAAGATCAAGAGCTCCCTGCAGAAATGGGGAATGTTTCCCAAAGGTGCAGCTCTGGTGCCTGCAGGGTCCCCAAATGCAGGTAAAATCCTGTCAGAGCCATAACTCGATGGTTCTAACCCTGTCACTGGGAGAGGCTCGGGTGACAGGAGCAGCAGGAGGAGCTGACCCTTCCCAGAGGCTGCAGCACAGCCAGGCCAGCAGAGGCTGCTGAGAACGAAAAGCCTTTCTAGGAAAAGCCCTGCTGCAGCTGGAGAGGCAGGAGCTGCTCCGGGGCTCTGGGGCAGAGCTGAGCTGGAGCAGCCAGACCCTGGCAGGACAACTCAGGCTTGTTTTTAACATTTAACATCCCTTTGAGAGCTGCTGCCACTGCCTCCTCTTGGATGATCTCCCACTGTACATCAGAAATAACTCACAATTGTCCCTGGGGCTGCCTTGCACATGAGGAATGCCTGGTGACCACAGAGCCAGCAGCCAGGCTGCACAGGACGGTGACATCCAGCAGGAAGGCAAAATGCCAACTGCAGGTTCTCACTCTGCTGAAGCAGTGCTCAAACTTTGAGCTTCTAATGGAAGATACTTCAATAAATCCTGCCCAAAACACATTTCAATCTTTCCTCTGAAACTGAAAGGATTTTCCCGACCCGCCTCTGCTTTTGAGTCTCTTTCCTGTTGCATCTATCAGAGTATAAATATTCACTATTAGTGAATATATAACAACGTATCAGTGAACTACTGAATATATAATAAAATAATATTCAGCATTAGCGAATAATCAGCAATATTACAATGTGCAGTACTTGTGCAGTTCTGCACTGTGTGTGTGCAGACACTTAATCAATACAGTTACTAACCAAGCTGACATATTTTATTTACTGTCCAGAATTAATTTATTACAATTTATTACTGTCCTATTAAGTGTAAGCAGGCCACAGTAAGATGAGCCTTGGATTAGGAGCACTTTTGATTTTTTAGGTTAAAGATCCTCCAGACTCATCACCTGCACTGTGGTGATGCAGGACAAGGTGGCAGAGATGCAGACAAGGGGAGTGACACCATGCAGCACCCAGAGCACAGAAAATGCTGCAGATCCCAGACCTGCACAGGCTCCCAGGGAGGATGTGCCCACAGCAGCTCTCCTGGAGCCTCCATGAAAAGATAAAAAAGATAAAAGGAGGAGCCCTGCCCTGGAATCTCTCCATGCTGGGCTGGACCATGCAGGCTGTGGGTTTGATGTCTCAGTTAAGTCAAATCTTATCCCCAGCCCTGGTACAGCTGAGAACGTGGAATTACTTTGATATTTGTCTTCCAATTTGAGAGCTTGGTGTGTTAAACAATCACCAGTTTCGTCCCATTACATCACATTTCAAAGTCACAAACCAAATTAATTAGCGAGATCGTGCCACCTCATCTTTAATCTCATTAGAAAAGACTAATAGCTACAGAATCAATTCTTTCATACAGATTACTGCCTCAGCACCATCAGCCTTTACATCACACAGCTCATTCTGAATTTTCAATTCCGTTGTCATTTCCTCCACTAGTTTAATTACAACCCTTAATTAGGTCCCTTCTTTAATCAACTTTATAGCTATGGCCATTCATGTATGGCTGCCTATAGAACAGGAAACAAAGAGCAGGAAGGAAACTACGGGGCCAACACCAGAGCTTTCCCAGGCTTTGGCTGCCCCAGCTCCAGGAGCTGCAAGCATTCCTTCCTTTGAAAAATCCACAATAAACTCATAACAAACACAAAGAAACCCACATGTTTTAGCTAAGAATTACAAAATCATGGTACAATTTTCATTTTGCAGTTCCTGAAAGCCCAGTGGATCTGTGATTACACTGACACACTTCCTTGTTTCGTCTTCTGTCAGTTTGGTTTCTGGGGGTCTGCAGGTGCTGTATTTTCCAGAATAGATCATTTCATTTCCAAAGCAGTAATTGGGATTTTCCAGCTTTGCTCTCCACTGTTATCATAAAAAGTTTGCATTTCTTTCCAATGCAGTGTGGGATAACAAGTTTCTCCATTGGTCTACTTTTGGTTTTTTGCTGATTTTTTTTCCACAATGGTAAAACAGTTTCTTATCATTTCCTGATAAAGAACCCAAGTGGTTTTTTTCTTTAATTCTATCTTTCATATTCTCATGCATAACTGATAAAACTATCCAGTGACGTTTTCCTTTAAGATCTACCAGAACAAATGTACCAAAAGGAAATTAGCAACAAAAATGAGAAAAGCCAACACCCTCTCTGTATGCAAATTTCTTCTCTTAAATACAAAAAATAAGACCATGGGAATCCTATTTCACTGAGCAAATTAACAAAAGGTCAGAAAGCTCGATCTTTGTCACGGTGCACTCTGTCTGAAAGCTGAGCTGCCATTTAAATATTGATGAGGGAGAGCTGTAATTGCAGGTTGGGATCTGCCAGAGCTCTATGTGCGCAGAAGGGGAGACTGAAAATATTCATGACATGGGACACATTCCACCAAGGGAAAGTTCAGGTGAAGGAAAGGAGCACTAACCTGGAATTGCAGTAATTTATGAATCCAGACACATAGGGAAGTTCCTAAAGCCTTTGACTTTTGAGGTTATGGGACACAGACACAGGA